GGAGCGAAGAGCACCAACCCGAGGCCCTCCTGTGCACGCACTCGCAACAACGAAGAACCCAAAAGCCCCAAAGCCCAACAAACCCACGGAACAAACTGAACCAAGCCTGAAAACCCCATGTACTGTACTGTAGGCCCCAGGCACCCACCGAAGCGAAGGAAGACGCGGTCCGGACCTGGGCGAAGGGCGTACAATAACTCGTGCCTGAGGCTTGATTATGCTGCTACGGTCGGGCACAGGGACGCACAGCTGTCTTCGGTGAACTGTATACTGTACTGTACTATACAGTACACTGCTGTATATACTGTACTGTACTGTAATGCCGTTGCGTGCAGTGCTGATCGCAATGGATGGAAGTGCAGTGCATCATTGTACTGTACGTACAGTACTGTAACTGTACAGCACTTCGAGCTCCCGACGAGATGCTCCGCTGCCCGCAGAGGCCTCACCAAGCACTTGCCTCCCCCAATGCCCCGAGAACATATGCTAACTGCAGTCGTTTGTGCCATTTCGGCATAGAGCAGCAATACAAATCCCTCAACCCTACTGTACTGTACTGTACTGTACTGTAAACTCGGAGAGGTTGCACTCCGGGGTCCAAGCAAGCTGGAGGCCGAGCGAAGAGACCTGACCGTGGCGAGAGGCCCGGGGTTCCCGGGAACGGGCTGGGGTTGCAGGGCAGTCTACAGTACAGTACAGTACAGTACTGTAGCTGCTAGCATACGAGAGGGGCGGGGTGGCAGCAGCGCAAGGCCCTCCTGTGCACACACTCGCAACAAGGAAACCCCGACCCCTTCGAAGTTCACAAAACAAGAACCTTTTAAAAGCCCCAAAGCCCAACAAACCCACAGAACAAACTGAACAAAGCCTGAAAACCCTATGTACTGTACTGGGCCCCAGGAACCCACCGAAGCGAAGGAAGACGCGGTCTGGACCTGGGCGAAGCAAGAAGACAAAACACAAAGGGGACGGGACAGAACTACGTACTGTAGGGTCGGGGAGAGGGGCACGCACGGCACTCGATAGGCACTCCTACGGGGACCAAGGGGTAAGGAAGGAATCCCTGAAACCTAAGAGGCGAGGAGGCAAACCTCAAGGGAGGGGGAGGGGACAAACCAAACCGCGCAACTCACCCCGGCTCGCTTTTCAGGCACCCCGCACGGCTGCAAAAGGGGCAATGCCCTCTCCAGGCACCGAAAAGCTGCAGTCTCATAGCATACTGTATGTATGACTTGGCCAGGATGACTGGACCTGCTAAGTAGAGTCATACCTGTAGGCTGTCTCGCACTCTCCGAAGCGGAAGCCTGGAGGGGGCACCTTGATTCTTGATCTAGAATCTAGCCGGTGCTTGTGCCGGGATCAGTCGCGGCTGGCTCAGCATGTGCTCGGACGGCCCTGGCTGTGATCGTGATCGAGTACTGGATGTTAACCGGCGGGACCGGAACCGTGACCTGCCCGTTCTGCTGTGCCGGTGGCCTAGCCTTGGCCTGCTGGCCGGCACTGGTAGCACATGGTGTAGGCATTGAAGTCGGCATGGAAGTCGGCATTGAAGTCGGCATGAACATGGCCGCAGCAGCGGGATTGGGAGAGATGCTCGGTGTGGTGCTCGGCGCACTCGGCACTGCTGCACTCGAAGGAGGGCCTGTGGCCGCAATGCCTGCTTTGGGTCCAGTCGTCTTTGGGATCGTGGTCGCCGGTGTTGGCGGCGGAGGCCCAGCCGGGGGCAAGTTGACCGGCTTGGGTGGGGGAGGGCCAGCCGGCTTCCCATGTCCCGGCAACCTTGAACCTGACGCCGTCGATGTAGCAGCTGCAGCTGTTCTCTCCTCATCGGAGGTCTCGATGCTAGATGAGCACGG